TCTTTCTAATCATTTATTTTGATCTCATTACTTTGACCATATGTTGAACAGTTTAACCCTTAGTTGGCTCAAATTTTGTTAAGATTATTTTTTAATTTAATATTTGTCATATTTCATCCTTTTATTTACCTTTAAGTCACATATTTATGTATTTATATATATTTTAATAATAACAATAATATGAAAATTAGACTAATAACATGTTTGATTGATAATAAGTTTTAAACAGGTATATATATTAACATTGTATTAACAAACATGAAAGATTTCATGAGAAAGTCTAAGAAGGAATACACATACTTTATTGTGCATATATTTAAAAAAATCGATGAAAAGATGGATAGTTTTAAGAATTTACTTGCATCAAAACTAATAAATCTGAAATTATACATAATCTCATTATCATTTAGCTTTACCAAATAAATTAGTTGATTTTTTATTCATTTGTGATAAATACCCAAAAATTATATAAGAATCAGTCGATTAATTGACTTGATCAATTTAAATTAATTAATTGTTTCAGCTATTAATGAGATTGTAACAGTTATAAACAACTAGTTTTTATTAAAAATTTATTTATATAACTTGTCTAATTATAAAATTTTAAAAAAAATTCAAATTTTTATGATATAAAAATTATTCTAAATGCAAAAATATTATAAATTCATCAAGAAATTATACTCAGATTGAATGCAAATAAACAATAAATTAAATGAAAACGAGAGCCATGATGAACCCGAAAATGCATAAAGAATACATCCATCAACTGGGAAGCTCAAATCTTGTAAAGCTTATAAAATTCATTTGTTAGAAGTTACTGGGTTATAGTTTAAAAAAATAAATTTTAAAAAATATTTTAAAAAATATATATTAAAAAAAATACATATTTGATTAAAATTATTATAAGATATACTTTTTGTATATAAAACAAACAAAAACAATGTTATTTTTTTAAAAAAATAGTTATAATTTTAAAAATACATGTTTTGTTAACACTGTTATGAAATATATTTTTATATATAAAATAAATAAATAATATATTTTTATAAATAAAAAACATGCTTTCCAATTCTTACAAAACTCAAACTCAAAACATAATTTCACGTGAGATCAAGTAAAAAAAAAAACAGAGAAATAATTCAACTAATAAAATAAAAAAATTAATGATTGAGTGGGGAAAAAAAAAACAAAAAACAAAAGCTATCACTGTATGAGTTACGAACGAAGTATAGCCATGCGGTAATCATAATTATACTCATCTGACTTGAAAGCAATGTCCACCGATGCATATTATTGTTTGTACCTCCGATGCATATTATTGTTTGTACCTCATGGAAGTCGCCATCAGGCTCGTGTGAGTTTTTACATAGTTTTTCTTGTCATATTTAATATTATTTTTTATATTAAAAAAATAATTAATTTATCACCACCGACAACTTTCAGTGGTTGAAAGTGATCCTTGCGACCGAACATAAACAAACATAAAAAAAAAAAATATTTCCTTTAATCAAAAAAACTATCTTAATGAACAATGGTAATTATCTGTTGAGGTTGCTGTAAAAAAATAAAAAGAAAAATAAAAAAGAAAAGAATCAATGTCTAATTCCTTCGTTCATGGAAGTCCTCGACAGGTGGTTCAGTTGTCCCGTCGTCATGTCGGAAACGCTTAACAATTCCTTAAGATTGAGATCCCACGCTGGTGGCCCTTAACTTCGTAGACAAGGGACTTCACCGGCCAAAGAAGAAAGTTGAGCATCAACATCGTAGTGTTAGCGTGTTGGAATGTAGGGATTATTGTTTTTTAAATTGTTTTTTTATTTTAAAATATATTAAATTAATATTTTTTTTATTTTTAAAAAATCATTTTTTACATTAATATATCAAAATAATTTAAAAATATAAAAAACATATTATTTTAAAATAAAAAAATTATTTTTTTAAAAAAATACTATCAAAATACAATCTCATTTACATCCTAAATCTTTGATATAAACAAATATGGAGAGCGATGTGTTTCTTTTGAGGTCAAGTTCCCTATATATAAAAGTTTGTGTGTACATTATTTTTGTAAATATTTTTTATTTTTAGAACTTGAATTCCTTTTAGGAGTTTTGGAAATATTGATGATTTCTCCTACAATATCGTTTAAATTATCTTAGTTTTTTTTGTGATAGAACTGCACGTATGACAAATGATACTCTGATTTGATAATGATTTTTTTTTTCTTTCTATCTCTTAAAAACTTCAAAGCAAACTTTTAATTTGTTATTTTTTTAAATTTATTTTTTTTATTATTTATTTTATTTAAAATAATTTATAAAATTAAAATTGTATTTCAATTTCATTCCCTTTTAATTTTTAATCTTTGAAATTTGATTGTCATTTTTTATTGTTATTTATTTTATTTGATATAATTTTTAAAATTAATTTTTTTAATAATTTCATCCTCCTTAAGTTTTTTTAGTCAAATTTGATCATTATTTTTTATTATTTTTTTTACTTTGATAATTTTTTTTAAATTGATTTTTTTATTTTATTATTAAATTGGTTATGGGTTGAACTTCTTTATTAAATTCGAGTTTAGAATTTTACGGGTTATGAATATTTAAGATTAATTCAGATTTAAGAGGTTTGCTCAGATTTACTTTGTTTTTTTTAAAAAAACTCATAATTTTTTTAGTTTTATTATTCAGCATTTATTTAATTGAAGATTGTGTTATATTAGTTTTATTTATTTGCTCTCTATAGATTTTTTTACAAATTTGAAAAATAACTCAGGTTATCTCGATTTTTTTTATATGTTGTTCTTTGTTGAATTTACTTTGAAAAAAAATTTAATTAAATTTTTTTAAAAAAATTATCCTTCAATATTAGATTAGTTATATTTTTTTTTTTGGTGTCATCCTTTAAGATTGAAGTTTTTTGGTATTGAACTTCATGATTTTTTTCAATTTTTTTTCTAATTGTTTATTTTGATCCTATTACTTTAAATGTAGATTTAACAGTTTAACTAGATTAACTCAAATATTTTTTAAAATTATTTTTTAATTTAATATTTGTCATGTTTCGTCCTTCTATTGACCTTCAAGTCACATATGTATATATTTATATATATTTTGATGATAACAATAATACGAGAATTGGACTAATACCATGTTTGTTTGATAATAAGTTTTAAACAAGTTTATACTAACATCATATTAACAAGCATGAAAGATTTCATGAAGAAGTCTAAAAAGGATTATACATACTTCACTATGCATATATTTAAAATGATTGACAAAAAAACATAGACAATTATAAGAATTCATTTAGATTAAAACCAATAAATCTAGAATTATGTATGAATTCATCGACTATTTAGCTTCACCAAATAAATAGGTTGACTTCTTGTTCATCTGTCATGAATACCTAAAAATTATGCAAGAATCAGTTAATTAATTAACTTGATCAATTTGAATTAGTCAATAAGATTGTAATAGTTATAAACAATTAATTTTTTATCCTAAAAAAACATTTATATAGCTTGTTTGACTGTAAAATTTGTAAGAGAACCCAAACTTATACGATACAAGAGCTATTCTAAGTGAAAAAATATTACAAATTCATCAATTTTTGAACTATTCTAAGTGCAAAAATATTACAAATTCATCAATTTTTGATTATACTCAAATTAATGCCATTAAAATATTTATATTTTAGCGTAAAAATATTTAATCTTATTTTTATTATATTTAAATACCATCAAATTTTTTAAATGCTATTTTATAAAATATAAAGATATTGAACTTATAAAATTATATTATAAAAGAATTGATTGTGATAATAATAAAATCATTTTTGTAAAAGAGCTAAAATAAAAAGGCTTTCGGCCGCATTACCTAAAGCAGCCAAAAGGGCCTACCCAGCTGAAACCGTGTTTATCTAGCAAAGCCTGGGAGGATATTCAAAACTCTCTTCCACCCGATCCAAACTCCAAGCTCGCCTGCGTTTCAGGCCTAGACTCTCCTGTCTTCAGAATATTTTATTTTTTGGATAAATTTTATTTTGCCCCCATGAGATTTATAAGATGTCTAATCTCACCCTCAAATTTTAGCTTGAATCATTTTCATTGCAGTTTCATTTTGCCCCTTGTCTATTTTCTGTCCATATTAACAACGGAAAATACCATAAATTTTAAATCTTCTTCAATGTTCATGAATTATCTCAACACAAACAAATTTTTTTTTGAAAATTAAATTTAAAAAAACAATAATAATAAACAACAATCATTAAGAGAAGAAAAACCTTTCATTAATGCCATTTATGAGTCATTCCTGATTATTCAACAATTTTTTTTTTTATCAACACCATCTACTATCATCTAATAATATATTTATCTATGTTTCAAAATATATTTTAAGTTTACAAGCATTGCTTTTTTATGTTTTTTAAATTTTAATTATATATTTCACCACACTATTATCACTGTATAAATAAATAAACTATAATAAATTTTAATTATATATTTCACCGTACCATTATCACCATGTAAATAAATAAGCCATAATATAATCATATTAATATATTATTTTTTATATAAAAAATATCTTAATTCAGCTTGCTTGCCTCAAATTATATTTTTACATCTAAAAGTTTTGTAAAACATGACTTACAACATGTAGTTTATGACTATTAGTATTAGTGAAATTAACGATTACGCTTGAATAATTTTTTTTAAAATAAGTTATAATATTACTGCTAATCAATTTTTTAAAAAGATTTATAAGTAAAAACAAGAAAATTCAAAATTACAATTATAACTCGAGAATATATCTTTCTTTTTTATCATTTATTTTTATTTCAATTGATGATGGAAACAGAAATGGACAAAAGACTATGATAAATGTTGAGGGAGCTAATTGATAGAAAATAAGAGTTTTGAATAAAATTGATACACCACATAAACATTAGGGGGCAAATAAAGATTTACCCTTTCTTTTTTATTCAAAACCGGTTGCTTATGATCACAGTTTCAGCAAAACAGAGGTGAAAAAAAGGAGAGAAATGGAATCTTCAAATCTCACTTCACTACCTGAAGAAACCCTAGACATAGAAGACGAACAGCAGCAGCAAGAAAATCAAATGAATCGACCAGTCTCTGCCTTTTCTTCCGTCCCGACTCGCCCTCCTACAAAGTCAGTTCCGGATTCCATTTCCGTGATCAAGCCTTGTGAATTAATGTTGATTTATCCAAAGAGAAGTCGATTGTCATCAATTAATTAACTAATTTGATTTAAATATTCTTGTAGGAGTTCTTTAAAAAAGTATGTTCCTTTAGAGTGGACAGAATTCTTTGACAAGGAGGAAGATGTCTGCATTCCGGGCTCCGATGATGTTAGCTTTGTCTTTGATGACAACATTTTTTTTTAAAATTGTGTTTTGAAATTTTCTAATGTTGTTTATGAATATAGGTATTTCATGTATACATGGCAGGGACAGAGGGCCCGGTTGTTTTTTGTTTACACGGAGGCGGTTATTCTGGGTATGTTTTATTTATTTATTTGTTTTTCTGCTAATTGTTCTGTAATACCGGCAGCATGAGTTTCGGTTTTTGCATGAAAATGTTTGTTTAAAAGTGCTTGGATCGTTGAATTATAGATTTCATTTGTTAAAAATAAGTTAGAATTTGGGGTCCTGGTGAATATAGATTGTGTGATTTCTTTGGTAGGCTTTCATTTGCACTCTCAACAAGTAAAATTAAGGAGAAAGCTCGGGTGGTTGCGATGGACTTGAGAGGACATGGAAAGACATCGACCGAAAATGAGCTTGATCTATCTGTCGAGGTATTGGTGATTTTATTGTTTTTCAATCCATGGGAAAGTGATTGTTTCAATAGTCATGTATGCTAGTTGTTGGGTTTTATGACATTATAACACAGCAGGTTGATATCTATACGTGTGTTTTTGAATTTGAATTTGCAGACTATGTGTAATGATGTGTTAGCTGTATTGAAGGCAATGTATGGAGATTCTCCTCCTGCAATTGTGCTTGTTGGCCACAGGTTGTGCTCTTTCGGCAAGTTAGTAGCTTGTAATAATTCATTTTGTGTAGTTAGTTATTATGGTACTGCATAACTGGTAATGAAAAACATAAAAAAGTGTTACCATCTCCACAATCACTAACCAACAGTCGATCCTGTCTTTGTTGCCTGGCCCCAACTTCTACAGTCGAAGCTGTAGTGATTTTTAACTTTGACAGATTCCTTAGATGAGCCAATTCTCTGATAATTGCTGATGATACAATCTTCGTATCTTGTTGTTCCTGATTCATTAATAAGAGGCAAAGGAAACACCATAACACTCGTTTCAAATTTTTCTTTTGACTCTTTTCCCTCTATCTTTGCTATTGTTTGTTGTTGAGCTCATTTTACTGTCAAACAGCATGGGTGGTTCAGTTGCTGTGCATGTTGCTGCAAAAAAAGCATTACCTAGCTTGGCTGGACTGGTTGTTGTTGATGTCGTGGAGGTTTGCTTTTTCTGTAGTAGCCTGGTCAGAATTTTTTTTTTAATGTTCTTTTGTAACTTTATTTGAATAATGTCATGAAATTTCAGGGAACAGCTATGGCTTCATTGGCTCACATGCAGAAACTTTTATCAAGTAGGATGCAGCATTTTTCTAGCATGGAAAAAGCGGTATGTGAAATTCCTAGGTGATCCCAATCCTTCCCATCTGTTAGTTCTCTGCACATCCTGATTCTTTGAAGATGGTCTTTGAAAATTTTTTTAGCTAAAGGACTTTAGCTTATAAAGAGATGGAAGGATCAGAAAAAGTGGCAAATTTCATCTGCTTCTATTAAAAGTATCTTCACTTGGGGATGTTTACTCCATAATTCCTCTTATTAGATGATGAAATTTGTTATTTTGGCATAGTAGTGGTTGATCCTTGTCTGATGTTCATGTCTATATTCTAGTTTCAAATTTACTAGTATCAGTGGCCAAGCGAAAACAAAAGCTATGGTTTTATAGATGATATGATGTTGATGACAGACAAGAAGATTGAAGATATTCGTTGTGTTATTAGGATTAAGCCTTTTAGATACGTGTTTACTTTGCTAGTTAAATGTTTCAAGTTCTGTCAAGCACTAGAAGAAATCGTGTTTTTCCTGTTGCAATACATGCCTCATGGGACTTCAAGAGAAGAGACAAAGAAAGGGAGATAAAATGAGAAGATTCAGCAAGACAGACTAAGACTTTGTGCATGAACTTCAAATATAGTTTTTAATATAGATATAAGTTGAAATATCTTGTTTACAGGCTAGAGCTAGACCAGAAACAACTGGGGGCCTGCTCATGAACTTCTCTTTACCAGAAACAACTGGGGACCGGCTCATGGACTGCTCTTTTTAACACCCAATCCAAAATTCTTTTTCTAGAATTCTCAAAGTATCTAAACATAAGAATTCTATTAGTGCTAGTGTCCAAAGGACTCATACATGGATGTAAATACTGAGTTCATGCTTGGTCTTGCAATCTTCTTGCGGGTCCTTCTAGTCAGTGGCTCATAATTATGGTGCCTTATTCAAGTGATGCAATTTTGTGTGGGTTTGCGTTTCCTCTTTAGCTTTAATATAACTGGAGCATTTCTCAATCAACATAACGATTTGTCTTTGTGCTTTAAAGACAATAGACGATCATATTGTGTGTTTTGGGAGAAGGGCTTGTGGCTTTCTCTGGAATTTTGGTGGGGAGTCTCCTATTTTTACAAGCAACTATCATGGGTACAATGTTTTAATCCTGTTTGTGGTGTTCTGCACTATGGACTTTCAGGGAATTATATTCAATGGCAGTGAAAATTCTTTTGTTTTGGTTTTACAGAGGATGGTGTCCTTAAAATCCATTCTACTCTTTTGATTGTTTCTCATGCTATGCCTTTTGGTGGTCCTTTGAAGTCCTAATTAACTGGAAAAGATTACTATGTACAGATAGAATGGAGTGTCAGGGGAGGTTCATTAAGAAACATCGATTCTGCTCGTGTATCTGTGCCAACCACATTGAAGTACAATGATTCAAAGAAATGGTGAGTACTTCCACTACTGTAAGTAAATAGAAAGGTCATGTAATCTTTGAGAATTTCAATGATTTTTTATTGTATTTTTAGATCTTGTAAACTATATATTAGCAGCTGCTTTTTTTAATGTCAAATTTGCTTGTACTATTTTCTCAACTGACCAGCACATTGATGATTTTGTTCTGCAGTTATGTTTATAGAACCCGTCTGGAGGAAACAGAACAATATTGGAGAGGATGGTATGAGTTAATTTGTAATTGAAATCCACATAAATAAACGTGTTGTGATGTGAATTGTACAAAAGTTGGAACACCTGTAAATGAAACCAAAGTCTTCACTGTGTACTTCTTAGATATAGGTTTGAATGTCTTTTGCATGGATGCAATGTTTCCTCATGTGAATTCTTTATCCTAAAGAAAACCTTTTCTGAGTTGATAATACATTACTTGCTCCTAAGATTGACTCTTCATAGATACTGGGACTTGTACACGCACACACAAACACACCAAGATCTGATGTTTAGTATCTTTTATTTATTTTCCTTTCATCTTGTCCAGATTTGGTGATAATGTAGTTCCCACAAAAGCACAGCACAGCTAATAAAGGATATGGCTTGAAGTACATCTGCTTCAAATATAAAATTGATTGGTTGCTTTACATATCTTTCAGGTATGAAGGCCTTTCAGATAAATTTCTATCATGTCCCGTTCCCAAGCTCTTGCTTTTAGCAGGAACAGACAGACTGGACAGGTTTAACTCAAAGCCTGCTTCAAATTCTCTATAACTGGGATCCAATAATGTTGCTAAACATGATGGAATTTTTACATTTTATTGATCTATTAATTTCACTACCTTTTGTTGTGCCATCTTTCTGTTTCTTTTTTTGGGATTAATGGAGCATCCACACCCTCACTTTTAAACTAACTCCCGTCCTTAGAACTAACACATTCCGTGATGCCACTGTTAATTCATTTCAAAAACCCTTTTCTGCTCATAATTTCATATTTGAAATTAATAATGAAATTTGGTTAGTGTATGGAATGCCTATTATATAATGCAGCTCTCTACTGTCAATCGACTTCCACATGTGAAGCATTGAAAAGGTGATATGAATTACAAATGGTCCTAGCGGATATTTAGTATATTGGGAATGTTAGTGGAAAACTTAGATAATATTTTTAAATTACATCACTTGTTTGGTGACTTCTCTTTAGTTAACAGATGATGACAGTTGTAGGGATGATTCATTGGGAAAATAGTTCATCTTGCTTTTGGCAACCATAAATTCAATGGACGTGAACTGTATGAAACATGAAGTTATAATAAAGAGAGGTGCTTCAATAGGAAAAGCTGAGAAGTAATTGAGGCTCTATTTTAATGGTTTTAACCCTATATTTGCTTGTTAAGTTTTCTTTAGCAGAAAAGGGATGAACGAGTGGTGATGGAAGAAGACGGTTTTCTTTAATTGCCATGAACGTTAATCCTACTCAAACAGCAGTACAAATTCATTCATCCATCTCGTTTCCTAGAATCCTAATTGTTCTAGAGATTGGTTAGGATTACATTATCCATCGTTGCAAAAGCATGCAAGTTTCTTGTTGCATTAATTTGTTGAGAATTTTTAAAGTACTGATGAGCATTTCTCGTATCTCGTTTTGCTTTCTTGCTTGTGCATCAGATCTCTTACAATTGGGCAAATGCAAGGGAAGTTCCAAATGGTTGTTGTCAGACATACTGGGCATGCTATACAGGTCCACATTGGCTATCATAAGTTCACACTGCATTTTTCTGCATTCCTTCCATTCTCTTCGTTTTGCAATTATTACAATTGATGCATCCAAAATTCTTGCAGGAAGACGTACCTGATGAATTTGCGACCCTGATAATTAATTTTATATCCCGTAACCGTATAGGGCCTCACGGGATCGTGGTATGTTTCAATTTCTTCCGTCATTATATAATCCGAACTCCCCGGCATAGGCTTTAAACACGTAATAATTTTTTGCAGATTCCCGGACTCCGTCGACCAGTACAACCAGTACAACCGCAACAATGAATCAATTGCTGGATTAATCAAGAATTTAAAAGCTCCATATACTGGCGATGGACCAATGAAGTTTACAGGCAACGATTCCCTTTGAGATAAATATGCTGATATGCGTCATGCATGGATGTAATCTTGTCTCTTCTGAGTGTAAGAAAATCACATTTTAATTTTCTGCTTAAACCCTTATAGAGCCATCGTGTTGGTCTGCTCTTACGTTAGAGAAAAGATTTCGTTTAGTGCTTTTATAACATATTTTTGTAACTTTTTTTTATTTTATTTTAAGATTGCTCTATTTTATTTCCTCCTATCCATTGATTTTCAATCCATCCCTGGATGAACCTAGTGACTTCTCGATGTTGTTATTAGATTGTTTTAAATTAAAAAGGTGGGAGTTGACTTGGTTTGTTAATTTATTAATGAAACAGGTAAATTTATAATTAGGTAATTTGGTTGATTAGTTAAAACTTAATTTAATATGGATATTTTTAAATTAAAAAAAAATAATATTATTTTGAATTAACTTATGTGCAGACCATGCATCATCTAGTTATAAATCAAGACAAGTGATTAGAGATGTTAATGGATGGCTGAATTTTTTGATATTTATATTTTATTTATTATTTATCAAATAAAATATTTAGATGTTTATAAATTATTTTTTGGGTTTTGTTTATCTAATAAATGTTTATCATCTAATATTATTTATTAATTAATAAAAAATAAAAATAAAAATTAAAAATAAAATATATATATTCAAATTATATATATGAATATTAAATATTAAATATTATTTATAGGTGCTTATATTAATATTAAAATATTCTATTTTTATATATTACAACGAGTCTAAAAAATTCTTCCCGATGTGAGGTCAAATTAATATATATTATTTTTGGATTAAATTGCCATTCCCACAGGTGATCTTGACATTGCATCAGGTTTACCAGCATTGATGAAATTATTTTTTCTTGGTAGATTTTCATATTTGAATTTAGATTTCTTTTTTAAATTACACCCTTTGAGCCAGCAGCATAGCCCCAGTAGAGCAAGAAAACCCGTCTGACGTGGACAGTTAAAAGCGTGGAGTGTCTAGCTTACCCGCCAGCGCCTCGGATCTCCACACAACTAGAGCTGGCTAGAAAGGCATATTCTCCTACACTGAAGTATCCGAGCTGCTCTGCTGTCGTTCAGTTCTGTTTTGATTTATTCGAATACTTTTTACAGATCACTCCTCAATCTTTTAATCTGGTCCAAACCAGTCTAGAGCTTTCACAAATATATCTTAAACGTTGTCGTAGTGGCTTCGTGAGAAATTGATGATTCTTATTGGAAATGGTCTGCTCATATCTCCTTTTCTTTTTATTTATTTGTTGTAAATGGGAAAGGATTTAATTTATTTTTGTTTATATCATAGGAGTGAAATGCATGAAAAAAATAATCAAGGACCAAAGTAGAAATCTGGAGAAAATAGGGTGGTAGATATGTAAGAGTTCAGATTGATATGGAATTAATTTAGAAGTCACTACAATCATTTGTATTTTATTATTATTTTCTTCCTACTCTATCCGTTAGGCACCCATCTTCTTCTCTTACTCGTCATCATCGTTTTAAAGTAGAGAGCTGCTCAATTTTCCCGAGAAAATAAAAACACACTCTTGCACGCTCATTTCGTTTTCCGGGAGAATCCGATTGTGATTGCTGCACCCTTTGTGATAGAATGATGGATCTGTGGGCAGTTCATGTGAAGAACACAACTGGAAGCCCTCTTTGTTTGAGAAATCATTCAATTCGAGAGAAATCATTCAGTTTTGGGAAAGTCAGGTTTTTGGACGTTAGGGTTTTGAAGCGTGAAGTTTCTTCTTTTGGGTATCATTCTTTGAGCGTCAAAGCTATGGCTAAGAAGAATGGCAATGATAACTCCAATTCCTCTTCTCCTTCTCCTTCTGGTGCGTTTTTTTTTCTAATTCATAATATTGAACTATTATTTTGGTTGCAATATTGTATACCTTTTGATGATATTATGTGATTATATATTTCATGTATACCTTTTGATGATATTCTGTGATTATATATTTGTACTGAACAAAGAAGGGACTGAAATTGAATTGATTAAAAGAAATAGACTGTTATTCATGTAAAAAAAGTTTTGATGTTTGTTTTACATGCAATTAAGGAATTTGAAGGCATTGGATCGAGTGAATAGTAGGGGAAGTGATCCATTTGGATTTGGTTGACTTTCTTAGAAAGTGAATGCGAGTATTAAAAAAGAAGAAAAAATAAATTAGTGAAGGATTATGGAGTTGTAACCGGAGATCTTTATCTATAAGTAAAATGTTATCATGGAAAACCAATTCCGGCTGTGTTTTTTTTTTTTTTATATATATTTTATATCAAAGGGTGACTTCAAGTTTCTGTTGATTTGGATGATATGAAGGGTGATTTCAAGTTTCTGTTGATTTGGATGATATGGACACCTTGACTGGTTCTATAAATATTTTTGTGAAGTTTGGTGAAGGGGATAAGAAAAGTTTTTGTGTGATGACTTTTACAAGGTACTTCAAGTCATCATGTAAAAGAGTCATGCAAGACTCAGAGGGATATTGAAAAGTTAGAAAAGTAGTTGGGCTGTTTCTCTTTAAGTTTTCTACTATTATATAAATTATGTTTCTGAAATTTAAACTTATTGTCAGTTTTTCATAACAAACTCTCATAGCAGACTTTCCTACAGTCAGATGAACTAACATTTTGTGATTTTCAATATATTTGTCATATGTCCCATCGAGAATGTAGGAGAGTCTATTAGGAGGGCTTGTTAGGAAAATAACATTTTTTCAAACTAAATCTCAGGATCAAAATAGATGAGAGCAGTGACATGGATCATTTTTCTCCATCAATTGTATTTGGGACCAATTCATTGTGAGCTACAGTGGTTCTAAATTATTTTTTACCACTTCAATCAATGCTTTTCGTTTTTTGGTCTACCACAACCTATATCCACAATATTACTTGCATATTACCGGAATATCAATGATTTGGATAGTCCAAAACATATCAAATCATTAGATCCTATTCCCTTATATATATATGTGCATTAAATTAGGGTATATATTTACTATTATTTCCATTCTTTTCTGCCGCATATGAATTCTTATTATTTTTTGACCTTGGGGTAAAAAAGAGAGACTAATTTGGTTCAATCATATGTTTGCTTTGGTACTGTGCAAGAAAGTCTCCATATGCACTTTCTACTTCAATTTTGTCATTTTCATTGAATATGAATTAGTGGGGTGGAAACACAAGGAAGGACTACATAAGAAATTAGCAGGACAGCAGCATGGTGGAGGCTGTCGTAAACAGCATCATTAGGATGCATTATAGAGGCAGCTATGAGGATATGTTAGTAACCTTTATGTGATACGTTGGTGGAATCACCTGTTCTTGTTACTGGAATCAGGTTTTAATCAGGTTTTCCTTCTACAAGAGGTAAAAGCTTTGGTATCAATTGCAGGATAAAGTTCAAGGTTTATGGCCATTATGGGTGCTGTATTGTAAACAGTATCGTTGGGGTTTTTCTTCTGTATATTAGGCTAATTGATGAGATTTGATGACTGGGGTTTTTAAGGAAAACTGAAGAGGGCTTCATGAAGTAACAAATTTATCTGAAACTTGATTGCTTGCAAAATAAACTGAGTGACACACTTGTCAGACAATCCAAAATAAAGCTAGAAGTTTCTGAAACTTATGTAAAATTGATCTCTTTTATATTTAAAAGTGATTGCAAACATCTGCATCTAGAGTTTTGAATTGTTCTTAGCGTTTTGCAAGGATTTGGTTCCTTATTGAAAACTAAGAATTTAACTCCTAAACTAACTTATAACTATTCTGAGTTTATGAATGAAAAGAGCATTGGAACTTTAAGATATTGATACGTGGATTTAATATTTCACTGAACAAAATTTAGTCCATACCCAATAAAATTTAAAGTTGACTCATAAAATAATAGCCAGTTTTAATGAAGCTAAATCTAATTTACCTCAACTGAAAATCAGATCAAGGTTGCTAATTCAACAATACCATGAAGGTGTGCATTGGCCTTACATTGACTTTAGGGTTTAGAATGTTCTGTTTGCTCATCTATGAGCTCCTTGAGTTGCAGTTCTCATGCTTTTCAGTTCTGAAAACCAAATAGAATTGTTGTTGCTCATTTGTGGTCAAAGAATCTAGGTTTTACCAAGTCAATGGTGTCTCTACCCTGTTGCAAGCTTGCTCATCACCACTAAGGGATGGTTGCTTGATTTTTTTTGCCAGCTTTCTCAACAGATTGCCTTTTGTTGCCAGCCTCCCTCCCCCTCCCC